ATTGCAGATGCTTAAATTTATTTTGCTTTCCAACTATTGTAAACAAGACCAAGGTGAAAATTTTACGATGTTGCTCACTTATCCCTGGTTTCTGTACAAAATTTCCTACAAGCAGAAGTTTATACATATTATTTTTAGGATCCTGATATTGGATTGGTGCTCTCTCAAACATAAAATAATACACACTCCTATTCTCATCAGCAATTTGTGAGCACCTTCCTCTCCTATGATACTCAGTATTGGTACAACCCAGCTGTCAACTAGAGGTTCAAGTTAAGATTGGCAGCTAAAACTGCATTTCTACAATCTGAGGCCTTTGCAATAGAGAGAAAATAACCAGCACCTAGGCTGTTGAGGAAGCTTTCTTGTGCTTGTACTATAGGGAAGTCAGAGTGAGTCAAGCTTAAGTTCCAACCATTTAACTTTGGGCATCCAAAGCCCAGCTGTCCACTGTCAGACCAACAACTTCACATTGTATAGCCTTACACAACACGTGTGTTACAGGAATGTAGCACCGAGTGCAATTCATATATATTCAGGGAAGGAAGTAGTGGGAGCCATTTTTATGGATTTACCAACAAAATCCAGTGAGGACCACCTGGTTGGAAACAGGCCAAGAACATCTTGATTTTCCAATGATATTAAACCTAATATCTAACTCTGATCATACCCAAGTAAGGAATAATCATATTGAAAAATATGTTTTTTATGGAACCAATGATCTAGGTAAAGTGTGGGGAAGCTCTCAAAGTACCTCCATCTGTAGAGAGATTTTGATTTAAGACTGTGATGTATTATGTTAGACATAACCATAACAGTATTGAGGTCTGATCACAGAGCTAGCATTTTACTTTGTCTTTTTTTTTAATCTTGTTTTACTTTTTTAAATTTTTTACAATTTTTTTAAGTAGGCTCCAATCCAATGTGGGGCTCAACTCATGACCCCGAAATCAAGAGTCATATGCCCCATAAATGAAGCCATCCAGGAACCCCTAAAATGTTAAATAATTATCATTCCTCCCAATTTAGGAATATCTATATCTAATATCTATATATATATATATATATGTATATATATAGATATATAGATATATCAAGAGAGCAGGAGAAACTTGTTTTAAAAACTTGATAATTTAACTCATGATTTTAGATTTATAAATCATTAATAAAATTTCTCTAGTGACATTTGAGTTTATGCCACAGTGAGTTAATTTTCACACCTTCATGTAATTTTTGAAATATCTTTGAATATCTTTGTTGTTTATTCTTCATTCAGTTTTAATAGTCTTGTCCTTATGAGTCATTTATTTAGGAGTTAACTCTGCTACTTCCCCCTGACATACACAATGGAGGATTTCTTTCAAATGTGGATCTTCAAAAGGAAATATGATGTCATCTTTACAGAGCTGCATATATAATGATGGTTATACTGGTGAAAGACTGGGAATAGGAATATTGGGTGGGCATTATTATGTCTGCTTGGAGATAAGAAGTTGTCCTCAGCAGTCAATATTCAGTAGTAAGATTTGTGAGTCTGGTGTTTGGAGGATCTTTCCCAGATTACATTTGATAAGGACTTTTTTTTTCCCCTGTGGACATCAAAATAGGAAATCAGACAGCTACAGGCCAAAATGTGATACTTAGAGATTGCCCAGGGGTTAGAGAGCACTTCGTATTTCTGGAAATAATGGAATTCATATTTTACTTTGTAACTTTGTTGACAACTTTGACCAGAAATCCTAAATTTTTTAAATGTGATTATGGTTTTGTATTCTGTTTTGATTTGACTTGTCTTAGACAAATGTAAATTTAAAAGTTGTTTAAAAGGATATTGTACATTTAGGGTCAGTTGAATGTAACTGTGGAGAGTATGAGAAACAAAGTCCAGATCCTTGAACCAGGCCCAGATCTACCACTTGCCCTCCCTGTGCCTCAGTTTCTCCAACTGAAAAATAGTGATAATTATAGTAACTGACCTCACAGAGATACTGTGAAAAGTGACTATACCACAACACTAGGCCTGTGGAGTGATGAGTGGCACAGAGTAAGCATTGCAGGGATACTGACTAATCTGTTATTAGCAACATACGTCAATTATACTTATGTTTAAAAGCTGATAAAAATATTTGTGTGGCTGCTATATCAAATTAGCACTATCTTAATGGCTTTAAATGATACAAATTTATTATCTTACAATTCTGGAGGTCACAAGTCAAAAATTGGTCACATTAGGCTAAAATTAAGGAAGGCTACACTCATTTCTGAAGGTCTTAAAGGAGGGTTCATTGTTTTGAAAGCATTTTTCAGATTCTAGACTCCACTCAATTCCTTGCATCATGGTCCTCTTCATCTTTAATATCAGTGTTTGAATAATTTCACATATATCACATCTCCTCTGATTTTTGCCTCTCTCTTATAAAAACCCTTGTATTTACACTGAGCCCAATAGGACATTCCAAAATAATCTCTCTTTTTTTTTAAGTAGGCTCCACACAATTTTATTGTGGTTTGAAGACAAATACAAGGGCCTACCATTTAATTTTTTAAATTTTCATTTAACATCTTTTATAGATTATATTCACATGGATTTTAAAGAAATTCTACAAGAAATGAATCATTTAAAGAGTAAAAAGGCAATTTTCATTTCAGTAAATATTTTACAATCATTTATTTAAATATTCAACAAATATTTACCATATGCTAGCCATTCTTTTGTATTCTGGAAGCACACAGTGAACAAAATAGGCAAACTGTCTTACTCATATGACACTTCTGTCAGTGACAGGAGACAAATACAAAATTAGATGAGTGTGTTAAATGGTCTGAAGGAATATGAAAACAATAGTCATCAAGAGCTATAAAAAAATAGGCCCCTCTGAGAAGGTGGATTTGAAGGAAAGCCCTGAAAGACATGCCAGTCACACAAGTGGGCAGGAGACCCAGGCCTGGATCAGAGCAAAGACAAAAGCTACATACTGGAGGCTCCACCAGAGCAGGGACAAAGGATTAGCATGAAAGTCATATGGGATTTGCAGCACCAGGGCAAATGCACTGGAGGAAGCAGAAAATGATTTCAAAAGATGAATGTATTACAATATGATGGGCTTTGAAGTGAAATATAAAGTTTTGTAGTAGAGCTTTGAGCAGGAGTTGACCTGTTCTGATGTAAATTTTTAAGATCCCTTTGCTCTGCTGAGGTTAAACTAAAAACAGATAAGAAAGACAGAGCATAAAGATAGCAGGAAAGATACCAGAATAACCTAGATGAAATATGGCTGGAAAATTTCATTTATGAAGTGCCAACAAATGTCCCAACCTTTTGTGAGTTGTGATGTATAACTAATTTGGTCTTTTTTTCATCTTCTTAGCATAGAGCTCCTAAACCTCTCTGAATTTCCTAAATGAAAATAGCTATGTAAATGTCTTTTGTTATTCATAAAAAGGCCCTCCTACTACACCTGAATTTATGCTAATGAGGTAACTTCTTGAAATCTCCTAAGAATCAGGGCTGGTTACCAGGAAACTAATCATAATTAAAGGTATGCAATTTTTAAGCCTCTACCTCTCAGATCTCCAAGGAGAGGAGAAGGTCTAGAGGTGTCATTAATCACTGATAGCCAATGATTTGATCATCCATGTCTAAATAATCAAGCATCCATAAAAATCCAAAAGGGGTGGGGGGGTTCAGAGAGCTTCTGAATATATGAAGTTGCCAAGAGGATGGTATACCCAGAGAGGGCAATGATGCTTCTGGCCTTTTCCTACACATCTTACTTTATGTATGTCTTCTACCTAGTGATTCTTTAGTTATATACTAGTCAATCTAGTAATTAAAATATTCTGTACTCTAGAAAATTAATTAAACTGAGGGATAGGGTCATGAAAACCTTCTATTTACAGCCAGTGGTTCAGAAGCCTAAGTGATAAGCTCTATTTGGCAATTGATATCTGATTTGGGGGACAGTCTTGTAGGACTAAGCTCTTAGCCAGTGAGATATTAAGCTATCTCCATGTAGATAGTGTGGATATTGTATTAAATTGTAGGACACCCAGCTGGTCGTCTGGAAAGTTGGACATTACTAATTATGGGGAATAAACCGTCACAAATTTGGTGACTGCAAGTGTCAGAGGTGAAATAATGAGAATAGAGGAGTCACATAGAAAATACTTCTTTCTTTACAGTCTACACTTCCTAAATTATTCATTTTGCTCACCTTTGACCATTCAAATACCCAGGGAATCAATGAGACTTTACACCAACTAGTATTGACTTAGCTCTGCTATAGACTGGACAACATTCTGGCTGCCAGAAATGCAGAGAGTGAATAGGAAAGATATAGTTAAACTCTAACCCAGGTATGGCAAATGCCAATTTTATGGCATTTTATTTATGTAATTAACACAATCTATGTATTGCAGTATGAACATAAAGGCAATATAAAAAGTATTATGCTGAGAGAAACAAGTCAATCAGGAAAAGACAATTATCACATGGTTTCACTCATATGTGGAATATAAGAAATAGCACACAGGATCATTGGGGAAAGGAGGGAAAAGTGAATTGGAAGTCATCAGAGAGGGAGAAAAACCATAAGAGATTCCTAACTCTAGGAAACAAACTGAGGGTCACTGGAGGGGAAGTGGGTGGGGATGGGGTAATTGGGTAATGAACATAAAAGAAGGCATTTGATGTGATGAGCACTGAGTAGTATACACAACTGATAAATCACTGAATGCTACATCTGAAACTAAGTATGTATTATATGTTGGCTAATTGAATTTAAATTTTTTTAAAGTGTTGTTCTCCAACAAAAAGAAATAGATCTACAGTTTCTAACTTAAGATGTTTCTCTTGCTCTGTTCATTTTTCTCTAGCATTTTGCCTTGGAAAATTTCAGCCAACCAGTACTCTCTGAGGTGTCATCCATACTGAAAGTGTCTTCTCTCTTTTTCCTTCCTGGTCTTTGTGGCTTTCTGCTCTGCTGGGGCTGCCATCAACAATGTCAATGAAGAATATAACTTTATCCTCTGACTTTATCCTCCTGGGGCTTCTGGTGAACAATAAAGCTACAGGGATCGTTTTTGCTGTTATTTTTGCTATTTTCATGGTGGCTGTAACTGCAAATCTGGTCATGATATTCTTGATTCAAATGGACTCTCGTCTCCATACACCTATGTATTTCCTGCTCAGCCAGCTGTCCATCATGGACACCTTTTTCATTTGTACTACTGTCCCAAAACTTCTGGTTGACATGGTTTCTAAAGAGAAGACCATTTCCTTTGTAGGTTGTGGTATCCAGATCTTCCTCTACTTGACCATGATTGGCTCAGAGTTCTTTCTCTTAGGCCTCATGGCCTATGACCGCTACGTGGCTGTCTGTAACCCTCTTAGGTATCCAGTCCTGATGAACCGCAGGGTGTGTCTCCTGCTGGCTGCTGGTGCCTGGTTTGGTGGATCCCTGGATGGCTTTCTGCTCACCCCCATCACCATGAATGTCCCTTACTGTGGATCCCACAGTATCAACCATTTTTTCTGTGAGATCCCTGCAGTTCTCAGACTAGCCTGTGCTGACACATCCTTGTATGAAACCCTAATGTACATCTGCTGTGTACTCATGTTACTCATCCCTATCTCTATCATCTCAACCTCCTACTCTCTCATCTTGTTAACTGTCCACCGAATGCGCTCTGCTGAAGGCCGGAAAAAAGCTTTCACCACTTGCTCTTCCCACTTAACCGTAGTCAGCATTTTCTATGGAGCTGCCTTCTACACTTATGTTCTACCCCAGTCCTTTCACACTCCTGAGCAGGACAAGGTAGTGTCAGCCTTCTATACCATTGTCACCCCCATGCTCAATCCTCTTATCTACAGCCTCAGAAACAAGGATGTCATGGGGGCATTTAAAAAGATGTTTTTGCAATACTCATCTGCTCAAAAAATATCCTCAAGTGATGCTTAAGGATTCAATAAACTCATAAAAGGTCTTCCTAAGAACATTTTCTATCATCTTATTTCTTATTTCAAAGACAACTACTTGGTCATGTGTCAAAGATAATTTACAATTGATGATTAAGAGGATTTACCATCTCTAGTTTCTTGTTACCAGAGGAGAAAACCAAAGATTTTCCAATAATTATGCAGATAGATTTTGGCTATCAACAATGAGGTATTATTACATTGGTTAAAGAATTCATCTAATTCTGGTTATTGCCTCTCAGACTAAATAAAAGGGGGGGTAACCCATAGCACTTGTGGTAAAAATAGTGACTGTCAAATACTAGGCCACGATAAATAGTGAGTAAGCTAACTGACTGAATTTTGAATGTTCAAGCATTACACAACCATTTAAAAGGAATATAATATTTAACATCAAATAAAATTACTATGCCTTTTTCCAAGTTATTTTAATAACAGAGTTCTAGGAAAGATGATGTCTTTGGGAAGAAAATTTACATTGCCCAATTCTGTGTGATTCATCAACAGGACTTGGATGCAATTCAGATTTGTTTGGAGTGAGATGAAAAGTTTTTGAAGAATTTTCTGTATAGACATACTTGATAAGATGTAAATTTTTATGTGGACTATTTTATGCACACTTAGAACAGGGAACTAGATTGCATGCAAGAAGACAACTCAGGAATCTTCAAATGAGAGAAAAGATTGAATTGAGTAGTTACACAAGATTTAGCTCACGGAAAGGATGACTGTTAAGGAAAAAAGTGAAATGAAAGATAAGTCAATTGACCTCAAGGTAAAGGAAGCTAGAATTTCTACTTACTGAGATTTTGAAAACTTTTAGAGTGGCAGGAAAGAGTAAGAGAAATAATTTAGTTGTTGAGAAACTTTTGAGATATCTATTAGATACACAAAGCCAATCAGGGTTGAGGTTGTAGGTAAGGGCTGAAGGTTTAAATATAGTAGTCTTCAGAATAGAAAGACTAAAGACATAGGATTAGATGAAACTTAGGTAAGAGTAAAGAGTTAAGACCAAGGCAACTGGAGGCACCTGGGTGGCTCAGTGGTTGAGGGTCTGCCTTCGGCTCACGGGCATGATCCCAGGGTGCTGGGATCGAGTCCCACAATGAGATCCCTGCGAGGAGCCTGTTTCTCCCTCTGCCTATGTCTCTGCCTCTCTCTCTCTCTCTCTCTCTCTCTCTCTGTGTGTGTGTGTCTCTCATGTATGAATAAATAAAGTCTTTAAAAAAATTTTTAAAGACTAAGACAACTGTGTTCAGCTGGAGAGACAGTAATACAAGAGACAGTGATTGATGGAGTAAGGAGAATTCATATCTCAGATAAAAGTGAGAAACTTCAAAACTTGGAGTATTACAACTGCAGTAATTGTTGGGTTATAATGAGAGCTTTGAGTTGGCCACTGTATTTGTCAACACAAACATCAATTATGACCTTAATAGAAGCAATTCCAATGGAGTTGTGTTCCAAGAGGATTCAAAGTAAAATAGAAGGGGAGAAAATGGACAAGATGGGTACAGTATAAGTACCTTTTTTTCAATGAGAGCAGATTAAGTGGAGCAGCAGCTGGAAAGGGATATATGATATCAATACGTTTTGTTGTAAGATATTGCAGATATGTTGTTAAAGGGAATAATCTACACAAAGTATAAACTGATAATGGAGGAAGTTTCTTCCATAAGATAACCTTTGAGAGATATAGAAAGCTTAGAAACCAATTTAGAAGTAAAGAGGTTGATTTTTTTGAGTTAACATGGTCATTTCTGATACAGGTAAGTTCTCTGATTTCTATTTTCTCAGTGTAATTGGAATCATAGGTGATACAGGTAAGTTCTCTGATTTCTATTTTCTCAGTGTAATTGGAATCAAGGAGAGCTTCTACTTGTGAAGGGATGGAATGATTTCTAAAAATTTGTGAAAAGAAGAAAACATCTTGGAGCTCAATTGAGTAAATGAATAAATTAGAGATATTTGGATTGCAGGGTAGTCTTGGGAATGATTTATGATTTAGCGCAGGCATGTTTGTCAAATAGTCGAATAAGTGGTACCTAGCAAATAGTAAACACACAATGTATTACCTACAATTAATTATGGCAATAGAAATGACAAGAAAAACAGAAAAAAAACAACTGCTATCACTACTTCTACAGACTTAGCATTTCTTATATGAATAAAATATGTAGTAATCATTTGTTTTTCCAATGCCTAGACCTTGAAGCATGTATTATTTATAGCTGTTTACTTCAGTGAATTGATCTCTCTGTGAAATTAAGGGTTTTTTAACCAAAATTATTGGCCATGTGGAGCTTATTGTATAACATGATACACTTTGGAATCATAAGGTAACATACTGTCCCCTCAACATACTAATTATTTAAATATATGAGTTAAAAACACCCCACAGTACATTTAGTCTTTAAACTAGTCTTTGTGATGCCTTCTCTGGTGACAAGCTGTATTATCTAATATATTCAGTGAATAGTCGTTCTGTTACAATAGATTTTATTAAAATGTTTAGACTTCTATCTTTGCATATGCCCAGTAACTGTTCAGCTTTTGAGCTGATTTTTTTTCTGAGTTGATTTTTTTTTCTTATTCAAGTTTAAATGTTTTAAATTACTTCTACCCTACATGCCAATTTCAGATGCAAAGGAGAGCGACATTAAGATTACAGGCTTGTACTTAAACTCACTGGTGTTTGACTCTCGGTTTTTTAATTTCTGTGTTTTGTATCCTTGGACATATTACCTAACCTCTCTGTACCAAATTTTCCTGTCTTAAGGAAGGATAGCCTGTTAAAAATCAAGAAAGGGAACAGTGTTTTTACAACAGAGATTTTCTGAGTTTGTGACTTATTGTGGTAAAGGCAGTTCTGCTTTTATCATATGCTCATTTATGATTTTTCTGTGTGTCCTCAAGGCACAATTCTCACCAACAGTCCCTCTTGATTCACTAAATAACTAACACTTTAAATACCTTAACTTATATTTTAAATACCAAACTGAATCATTCATGATTATATCTGGGACACTTATATTTCTCCTCTTTATCCTTTGGCTTGATGTATCTTTACAGGAAGAATAAATCCATAAATTTGAAGAAATCCCCAGGGGATTTTTTTTTTTTTTTAGATTCTATCCAGTCCCCCATTAAGTATTACTAAACCAAATTGGCATCAATCATCTGCCACCTTGTGGATAATTAATACATTACATTATTCTAAAACTAAAATATGTCCTTGGTGTGTCCCTTAAAACATAGAAATTAAGGAGTCAATCCCATTTACTTTGCACCCAGAAGCATAAGATACCTAGGAATAAACCTAACCAAAGACGTAAAGGATCTATACCCTAAAAACTATAGAACGCTTCTGAAAGAAATTGAGGAAGACACAAAGAGATGGAAAAATATTCCATGCTCATGGATTGGCAGAATTAATATTGTGAAAATGTCAATGTTACCCAGGGCAATTTACACGTTTAATGCAATCCCTATCAAAATACTATGGACTTTCTTCAGAAAGTTGGAACAAATTATCTTAAGATTTGTGTGGAATCTGAAAAGACCTCAAATAGCCACGGGAATATTAAAAAAGAAAACCATAGCTGGGGGCATCACAATGCCAGATTTCAGGTTGTACTACAAAGCTGTGGTCATCAAGACAGTGTGGTACTGGCACAAAAACAGACACATAGATCAATGGAACAGAATGGAGAATCCAGAAGTGGACCCTTAATTTTATGGTCAACTAATATTCAATAAAGGAGGAAAGACTATCCACTGGAAAAAAGACAGTCTCTTCAATAAATGGTGCTGGGAAAATTGGACATCCACATGCAGAAGAATCAAACTAGACCACTCTCTTGCACCATACACAAAGATAAACTGAAAATGGATGAAAGATCTAATGTGAGACAAGATCCCATCAAAATCCTAGAGGAAAACACAGGCAACACCCTTTTTGAACTTGGCCACAGTAACTTCTTGCAAGATACATCCACGAAGGCAAGAGAAACTAAAGCAAAAATGAACTATTGGGACTTCATCAAGATAAGAAGCTTTTGCAAAAAAAAAAAAGAAGAAAGAAAGAAAAAAAAAGAAGATTTGCACAGCAACGGAAACAGTCAACAAAACTCAAAGACAACCTACAGAATGGGAGAAGATATTTGCAAATGACCTATCAGATAAAAGGCTAGTTTCCAAGATCTATAAAGAACTTATTAAACACAACAGCAAAGAAACAAACAATCCAATCATGAAATGGGCAAAAGGCATGAACAGAAATTTCTGCAAAGAAGACATACACATGGCTAACAAGCACATGAGAAAATGCTCCGCATCACTTGCCTTCAGGGAAATACAAATCAAAACCACAATGAGATACCACCTCACACCAATGAGAATGGGGAAAATTAACAAAGCAGGAAACAACAAATGTTGGAGAGGATGTGGAGAAAGGGGAACCCTCTTGCACTGTAGGTGGGAATATGAATGGTTCAGCCACTCTGGAAAATTGTGTGGAGGTTCCTCAAAGAGTTAAAAATAGATACGCCCAATGACCCAGTAATTGCACTGCTGGGGATTTACTCCAAAGATACAGATGCAGTGAAACGCCGGGACACCTGCACCCCGATGTTTCTAGCAGCAATGTCCACAATAGCCAAACTGTGGAAGGAGCCTCAGTGTCCATCGAAAGATGAATGGATAAAGAAGATGTGGTTTATGTATACAATGGAATATTCCTCAGCCATTAGAAACGACAATTACCCACCATTTGCTTCAACATGGATGGAACTGGAGGGTGTTATGCTGAGTGAAATAAGTCAATCGGAGGACAAACATTATATGGTGTCATTCATTTGGGGAATGTAAAAATAATGAAAGGGAATAAAGGGGAAAGGAGGAAAAATGAGTGGGAAATATCTGAGAGGGAGACAGAACATGAGAGACTCCTAACTCTGGGAAAGGAACAAGGGGTGGTGGAAA